AAAAACATTATTTATTCCTGAGTGAACATTTGTCTGCGAAGAAATCTGTTGAACTATGGTTCAGATATTTTACCCCACAAATGTTGAACTGTTGTTGGTACAAGAGGAGGAGTCAGAGAATCACCAACACTGTGAGGTTACTTTACCAGGTAGTCAAAGTCAACTCACAGATTAAGTGAAATCCATTCACATGGTGAAATAAACAGTCCAACTTTGATTAAAAGGGTAAAGGCGGCAGTTGGTTTATGAACCAAAGAGTCGCTGGTTCAAGTCCCGATGCGGGCCAAGCCTGAAAACTGGTCTGGTAGCTGTCTCCATTAGTGCATGTTCATAGGATCCTGTTTGTGCATGTGTGTATTTCAGCCTGTGTGTGTGAAGCATGTTCAATAACAGATTGTAAAAATGAACTTCTTGTAACTGCTAGTTCAAAAACAATATTGATTTCCTCAAACGACTCACAAATGACTTCAAATCACACAGAAACACGTTTCACTTGAAAACATTTCATTGTCTTTAAAAAAAATGTCTTTTTGTACAATGTTTGTCATCAAAGAAGCACACGGTGGACTGTTTTACAGCGGTGGCAAAACAATACAATAACCACAATGGAATACAGACGAGTTGGAGACGAGGTCAGAGGGGGTCTGGATGGTGAACCCCTTGGAGTCAGGACTCAGCAGCAGCTCACAGCTTCAGCTCCAGTCTGGGTTTGAACCCCGGGTGAAGCAGCTCCTCTGGTCGGGCCGACCTTCACTTCACCTTTGGAGGTGTGTAGTGGATTCTGCACCTTTCATTGAAAACCTGAGCACCAGGAAGTAACGTTTAAAATCAATAACTGATGTGTGATAAGATGGATAGTGTGATCATAGTACGGATTAATGTGAGCATACCTTCAGACTTCTGTCACTGACAACCTCTTCAACATTCAGCTCTGACTGCATCAGCTTTAACTGGAGACCAGGAAGATAGAACACATTATGTTTTTTTAATGAATGCATGACAACAACTTTTATACACAATATCTCCCATAGAGGTCTTATTATAACTCTTCAATCCTCTGTTTACCTGCATTTCAAATTAAGAAATACATCTACTATTATACTGTTTATGTTCTTCTTATATACATGAGAGAGGACGTGTTTTTAATGTTTCAAACATGAGCCCTATCTTATGTTCATGAGAGAAGGTTACCCATGTCTGTGATTTCTGTTCCACAAAAGCATCGTGTTGAAGAAAGTTTTGAGCTTGTGGTGCCTTATGTTTGGAAATTTAAAATTTAAAGAAGGGTCACTCCAGGGATTGAATATTGCTTTTAGTGGGGAGTCAAAAATAAAAAGGATGGTCATGGTAAAAGCAGCAAAACCAAATTATTGGGATTTCTGGCGCTTACTATGTGGCAAGAAAAATTGACTGGATACTACAATTCCCATAGGCAACCTTAATGCATCCTTCCTTAGACTTTCTCTAAATGCCATCATCTTAAAAACTCTGCACAAGTAGTTTGTAATGCAGCCTTTTATTTAAAAATAAATAAACTGTGAGTTATGATAACCCTAATGACCTCACTCGACACCAGCAGGATAATCCTTAGACTGTTTGACTGAACAGCTGTCAAAAAAGTATCTTACAATGAGTCTGTCAGCTGCAGATGGACCTGCATGGCTGTCTTTGTAGATTTCATTGTGTTTGAAAACAGTTACTAACTTTGGTCTGCTCCTTCCTGAGTTGTTTGATGAGCGCCAGGTTATCGCTGTCTTTCGCTCTTTCTTGCCGCAGTTGTCCCACCACCTGAGATGTCTGAGATATACAGGACTTAATAGCTTTGTCTCGGCTCAGATGGGCCTCCATCATCTGTGAAACACAGGAGGTTATTACAGCAAAGCAACTACAGCACACTGGTATTGTTTGAGGTCATGGCTTTCACACTCACAGATTCATAGAGTTGTTTGCATGTCTGTGTAGCATCCACTTTGCCTGAGAAGGAGACGGTGGGCACCGTGGTGTTCAGAGAGTGGACGATGCGGTCGTCTATGTTGCGCATCACCTTCAGCACCTCCTGAGAAACAAACAGTGGGGCAAAAAGATAGCATGATAAGGTTTCAAGTAGCCTCGATTGCCCGGTCATGTCGATTTGCCCTGTACAACATCAGGAAGATCAGACCTGTCAGAACACGCTACACAGCTCCTGGTACAGGCTCTTGTGATATCACACATCGATTATTGCAACTCTCTACTGGCAGGTCTTCCTACATGCACTATCAAACCTCTGCAAATGATACAAAATGCAGCAGCACGACTGGTCTTCAACCTTCCTAAAAGAGCACATGTCACTCCGCTGTTCATCTCCTTACACTGGCTCCCAGTTACTGCTCGCATCAAATTTAAAACTCTGCTGCTCGCTTACAAAACAGCGACAAAAACGGCTCCTCCTTACTTTAACTCTCTCATCCAGGTCTACACTCCCTCCCGCCCACTACGCTCTGTCAATGAAAGGCGTCTGATCCAACCTTCACAACAGGGTCCTAAGTCTCTGACTAGACTCTTCACCTCTGTTGCCCCCCGGTGGTAGAATGAACTTCAGTCCCTCTGCACCTTTAAGAAAAAGCTAAAGACCCCAGCTCTTTCATGAACACCTACTAACTTAATGATGATGGTTTCGATATCATTGTTGATGATGATGGTTGTGACGATTGTTTTTGTTTGATAACGACGACTTATAAGATGGTTTCTATACTTATTAGAGCTCTCAAGAACTGCCGTCAATGTTGTGCTTTGCCTCTGGTCACTTCCTGTCAGCACCTGTGTGTCCAATCTGACTCAAAGCTGATCGTTTGCTCTTACTGACATTGTTCCCTTTTTTTCCTAGATCAGGGATGGGGCAACTTTGGTCACAGCAAGGGCCACATTCATTCAATTCTCACTGCCAGAGGGCCAAATTGTAGTATACAAAAACGATTTCAGTCAATTATGTCCCAAATTTAACTCAACATCTACCAGTGATCAAATATTATTACGGACATATTTCTGGTTTTCATAATTTCATGGCAGATTTTGTCATGTTTTCTTCATGTTTCCAATTAATTGATATGTAAAAATTGACCTGAGGGCCACGTTGAGGGTTGATGGGGGCCGCCAGTTGCCCACCCCTGTTCTAGATCCTTGCTTGTGTTGTACTTACTCTCTGATGTACGTCGCTTTGGATAAATTGTAGAATAGCTCGCAGCTTTAGTTTAAATACACACATGAAAATAAGAATTACAAGTTTAGAAAACACACTGTGAAAGAGTAAAATACAACACGTGTCATTAAGGAGGCTTTAAAAAATAAAAGCATTGATTCATCAAAGATTAGGCTTCAAGATAGTTTCACATCTCTTGAACCACTGCTCATGACTGCAGTATCTGGTGTGTGTTATTGTTTGCCTGCCAATTCATGCATAAGTAAGTATGAGGTGTTTAAATAGAGGTCTGATGCATGTTTGAAGAAACTTAAACTTTCCACATGGTGATGAATAATATCTGTGTTTAGACTTATTCATCTGGGATAGTGAGTTTTAAACCGTACAGTTTGCAGAGCTGCTGATCCGGATGGGCTTCTTGAACTCTTACAGAGTTCACAGTGTAACAGTGTAACAGTGAAACAGTGTAACAGTGAACAGTGTTTATAGTGTAACAGTGTATCAGTGAACAGTGTTCACAGTGTAACAGTGTTCACAGTGAAACAGTGAACAGTGTTCACAGTGAAACAGTGTTCACAGTGTAACAGTGTTCACAGTGAAACAGTGAACAGTGTTCACAGTGTAACAGTGTTCACAGTGTAACAGTGTTCACAGTGAAACAGTGAAACAGTGTTCACAGTGAACAGTGTTCACAGTGTAACAGTGTTCACAGTGTAACAGTGTTCACAGTGAAACAGTGAAACAGTGTTCACAGTGTTCACAGTGTAACAGTGAACAGTGTTCACAGTGTAAAGGTGTTCACAGTGTAACACTGAAACAGTTTAACACTGAAACAGTGTAACAGTAGACAGTGTTCACAGTGTAACAGTGAAACAGAGTTCACAGTGTAACAGTGTAAAGGTGTTCACAGTGTAACAGTGAAACAGTGAAACAGTGTAACAGTGTTCACAGTGTAACAGTGTAAAGGTGTTCATAGTGTAACAGTGAAACAGTGTAACAGTGTAAAGGTGTTCACAGTGTAACAGTGTAAAGGTGTTCATAGTGTAACAGTGAAACAGTGTAACAGTGTAAAGGTGTTCACAGTGTAACAGTGTAAAGGTGTTCACAGTGTAACAGTGAACAGTGTAACAGTGTAAAGGTGTTCACAGTGTAAAGGTGTTCACAGTGTAATAGTGAACAGTGTAACAGTGTTCACAGTGTAACAGTGTAAAGGTGTTCACAGTGTAACAGTGTAAAGGTGTTCACAGTGTAACAGTGTAAAGGTGTTCACAGTGTAAAGGTGTTCACAGTGTAATAGTGAACAGTGTAACAGTGTTCACAGTGTAACAGTGTAAAGGTGTTCACAGTGTAACAGTGTAAAGGTGTTCACAGTGTAACAGTGAACAGTGTAACAGTGAAACAGTGTAAAGGTGTTCACAGTGAAACAGTGTAAAGGTGTTCACAGTGAAACAGTGTAAAGGTGTTCACAGTGTAACAGTGTAAAGGTGTTCACAGTGTAACAGTGTAAAGGTGTTCACAGTGTAACAGTGAACAGTGTAAAGGTGTTCACAGTGTAACAGTGTAAAGGTGTTCACAGTGTAACAGTGTAAAGGTGTTCACAGTGTAACAGTGTAAAGGTGTTCACAGTGTAACAGTGTAACAGTGATCAACAGGGTCACTCATTCACAGGTGTGAATCTGAAATAAACCAAACCGCATGTGAAATCCTGAACTAGTTTGATCCGGAGCGTACCCACTCAGTAGAAAGTTATTACAGATCGAGAAATACAGATTGGATTCATTTACCTGAAACATTGAAAAGTCCTCACAGTCTAAAGTTCCAACGGGCGCCGCCATTGTTGACTGTGGGGTCCCAGACAGACACAACGCCAAAGGACTGTTCAAGAAAGTGCCTGAATTAAATACATCTCCGTCAATATTTACAGTCTACGGTCAAACTCATACATACATAACTACATTTATTTATTTATTTATTTTACTTTATTTATTTATTTGTTTCTTTAGGGACAGTGCATATGAATGATCAGCTGTAACAATTACAGCTGTAAAAATGCCAGATTATAGCAGAAGTGCTAGTTTCCATCTGTTGTCCCGAGGCAGGTAACAGAGAAAGACAAATTACAAATTACAAATAAAATACAAATACAAAGGCACAAGTGACACAAGACAACAATAGAGGAAACAGCATTGGTTATTAAATTAAATACATTGTCTCTGAATAAAAAAACAGATGATGATTTAATACAAGTATACTCCAACTAAATAAATACAGAACAGTTGCATAACTTGATGAAATGCTATGGAGCTGTGTCAAAGTCCCATCGATGTGTCTTATCCCCTTAATAAAACCCCCACACACAAAAAAAGACTCCAGTCACAAGGACAAGTCACAATTTTATTATTATTATTTTGTTTTTAAATCAGGCGCACGACTGGAGCTCCCTTCCTTATGTGACGGGGTCCTGTTGGGCAGTTCGTGGTGTAAGCGCAGCGAGTTGACTTTCACCAGCTGACGGGACTGGAAATGCAGAGACCTACTTTAACGGCTTGAATTCAAAGTTGCTCTTTACTTAAAGAAACATGAATTTTGTCGGATCACGCCTTTCCATCGGCAACTTCGTAGGTTCGTCTTAATAATAATAATAATAATAAATATTCTTGAATTATTTCTTTCTGACATCTGGCTCCTTCCTCTTGTTAGTTAATTGTGAAATTAGCGTGAGGAGTTTATCATGTGCTTCTATATCACAGTTTTAACTTGTAATGTATTCATTGTTTTTGCCACGTAACCAGGTGTGTTCGTCATTGATGTCGATAGGTAACACAAAGGCAGTTCCTGTGTTGTGAAATTGTGTATTTTTTATAGTGTGATTGAAATCCTTTGACCTACCTCTTTATTACTCTGCTTTATTTCTACCAACCACGCCCCCATCTGTATACGTGCACCACGACTGTAATTGTGATGTTCTCTTGAGTAATGTCTGCAAAAATGACAAATGTTGAAGTATCTCAACTATTGGGGAGCGTTGATAAGAAATGGAATCTCATTGTTCCCTGAGTTAAGTCACACATAGGGCCCGTGGAAATCCAGAGATGCATTTTTCCCTCAAATGTCACGTTAACGATACTGAACTTGTGCAATATTTAATCTTTAGTTGCAGCTACAATTGATGTCCAATGTTCTCAATTTTATATGCGTGTTAACCATCTTTCCAACAGGTCAGAGGTGCAGACGGGTAACCGAAACATGGAGCCTCAGAGGGATGTGCAATAAACCACAGGAGACCAAAGCAGAGCCTCCACCTGCAGCCCCAGCACATGGTAGAGTTTGAGTTTGTTGGTTGACAGATTTCCTTTTTCTCTTTGTCTCTTTACATGCAAAAAAAGCACAAACAAAGATCGAGTTCAACCACTGAAATTTACCACCACCAAATCGCTCTTTTGACCTCATTCCCAAATATTTGTGTTTAATTTCTCCTTATTTTACATCTATATTGATCATCTGTGATTGTCATCATCTAAATTGATCACCTGTGTTGCCTAGAATTGTTTTTCAGTAATTCTTTAAACAGATAAAGTATTCACATAGGCTATTGACTGCCAGAGGATTTTGCACACAGATCACTTGTTGCCATAGCAAGTGTGTGAAAGTTTTCTTTAGTCCCCCAAAGGGAGGAGAGTCACAGGAAGAGGGGTCACAGTTTAGGGTGATGGCGCTAACGACCGGGGCTTGTGAAAGTGAACTTCTCTGCCTTCTTCGTTTCAAAGATGTAGATTAGTGAAGTTAAACTATGTTTGTTTGTTCTTACATGCAGCATCCCGTGCAGGCTTCAGAGTCCCAGGCTACAGACCCTCCAAGCTGGACAGGAAGATGCTGGTCTGGTCAGGACGTTTTAAGTCAGCGGACCAGATACCAGAACTTGTGTCGTAAGTAGCCTCTTCCTGTTTATGCCGGACTCCCGAGAACACTCTGGCTGATTGGCTCCTTGCATGATGTAGTTAAGATACATCACAAGAACAGAGCTAGCTGTAAGTGGATGTTGCTGTGGGTCGCTGATGTTCCAAAACAGTCGCAGTTCAAACGCCTTGTTTGGCGTCTGTGTGTGGCCCGGGGTAATTATTGCTGTTCCTGACATCAGGGTGGAGATCATACAGCAGTTGATCTGCTGCAGAGATTAAAATAAAAACCTGGTTGTTGTCACACGCTGAACTGCAGACCCCTCACCTCTCGCACTCGGTGCACTAAGGCTCCATTAAAAACGATGATTGAAACTTTTGTTGACGTAAGAGGCTGAGATAAGGATGACTAGATGAGCTCAACACAGGAACAAATATCACTGCAGAGCAGTCGTGTTTCTACCGGTGTTTTTATACAGTATTAATCTGGCTTCAATGGTTTTTTGTTTGTGCACCTGCTACAGGTTTGAGATGATTGACGCTGCCAGAAACAAAGCCAGAGTGAAGATCTGCTATATGATGATGGGTACCACGATTGCAGCCTGTCTGATGATGGTCTTCCTGGGCAAACGGGTGAGCGACAATAGAAGACTGCGTTGTGTTTGTTTTTCCACAGTAACAATGTACCAGAGGGTGTACTTCGAAGCAAGATTCATATGTCAGCTGTGTATGTTGAGCCTAATCCAGAGTTCAAGGTTGCTCTCTCTTTTTTGTATGGCTCGATCACCATGGTGTCTTACTCTGCACACCTTAAGTTCAGAGTTTATTTTAGTGTATTTCAGTTTAAGAGCAATTCTCTTCAATAATTATTTACTTAGAGATTATCTGAGTGAAATAGACTTGTAGCTGAGGGGGTGCACTGATTGACATTTTATGAACATTTACATGTATGTTTGCAACACCAACAACAGCACTTGTTTTGTTCACTTTTTTGTATTATTGTTGCTGTTCATTAATTCAACCTGACTGAAGTAGGCAGCTGGATTGCTCCTGATTGTGAGCAAGAATAGTCAAACAATGTATCAAACGCATTCCTTTAAAAAAGCCAGGGTTAACAGAGAGAGTTGGTGACCATATTTTTTGATACAGGATATCTCAGACGGGCTCTAACGGTGTAGTCGTCTTACACACAGAAAGTCTGGATATGTCAAACTTGTTTTGTGGTATACTTGAACCACTTAGAATTTTTTAAGCACAAAGTAGAAGAGCTGTTTTGTGTGAAAATGTCTTGTGTGCAAATTTAAGTACGATCGGGAAAACATAATTTTAAAGATCTAATTCATGATTTGTCTCGTTGTGTTGCAGGCTGCAGGTAGGCACGAGTCCCTGACAGGACAAAACATGGAGAAAAAGGCCAGATGGAAGGAGGAACTACAGAGGGAGAAGGAGGCTGCCCTCGCTCTGTCTGAGAAGGCCCAGTGATGGAGGACAACAACACAAGTGTGTCATTTCCCCTTATAATTCTGGGCCACTAGTGACCCTGTTCCCACTGTATCTATCACAACCTCAGAGCTCTTTCCTCCAGTCCTGGACAGAGAGCTCTGCTACATCAGAGCAGTTGATTCTTGGTAGTATTACAATCTGAAGATTGATCTTAACACACACATTTGGAATATAGAATCATTTAGAAAGACCAATGTAAGGTTTTATCTTTTCAGCAGATGCATTGAAGCTATGAAGTGGGAGATGTTTTGGAGGGGAACAGAAACATTTTGAGAGGGAATATTTAAACATAATAGAACCTGGTACTGTGACAGAACTTTAATACTGATATCCAGGCAAGAAAATCCCATTAGGAATTAACAATGTAATTGATGTTTCCTGTAAAACTTCACAACACACCTGTTGAGCTGCCTCAGAGGTGACACACCACTACAGGGTTCTCAAGGATCTCCATCTTTGTAAGGAGAACAAAAAGAAGTGAGGCAGGTAGGATCCATCCATACAACAGTCTGTCAGGACACTCATGACGTGGTTAAGATGGTTTGTTCATAGACTTAAGTCCCATTTTGTATATAGTGAACATGCACAGAGAAAAAGTTCAATAAAGTAATGTTTCAGAATGTCTGTCTGATTGAATCACCTGGTTTGGTTTCATGTTCCCTGCAGGTCTTAACATAATGATCAACTACTCTTTCCTTTTTAATGCTGAGAAAACAACCAAGATTTTTTGTTTGTGATGCAGTGAGGAGCAGAAATGTTTTAAAGGTCTGCAAGTTTGATATTGGATTAATCATAATGGATTTTTCAACAAAAGTTGAGAGATTTAACTAACGTCTAGAGGGAATCTTTGGTAGATTTATGTGCCATGTATTCTTTTAGGTTTCTGAATGTTGACTTACAAAATAATGAGTTTGACGTCATTACCCAGGCTTCTGAAATGTTTAATTTGCCTTCTTTCTAATTTCTAAATCAAATGTGAAAATAATAATGAGACAAGTACGAGCTGTAACCACGTCTTCAGTTGCATTTCAATGTCCTGGTAAAGGAAGTACTTACCGGCAAGTGGAACCCTGTAAAGTCAATGCAATGAAAGTGATTCAGTTACACTGTGGTTCATGAAACGGCTTTTATGCAAATGGCATAACAGGACAGCTGCACAAACTCAGTACAACAAACAGTAATTAACATGTAGAGCTGGTCATCTTTTTGAGATTCGGACAAAAGATAAGCAAAAGAGAACTTTGTAAACAAACATTCAGTTTTCTGTTAGCTAAGGTGACCACCAGTATTTTCAAGTTTGTATCTGGATTTTTGTTGAAATTATTTGGAAGGATTTCTGTAGAAGAAGGATAATGGCACCATCAGCAAGATGACAGATGCTAACCCCAACTAAGAAAAAAACATGTTTATAAAAAAAAAGACCCAGACTTCATACCCGATAGCTCAAATATGTTTCGATGATTTGGCATGATCAAATTGGAAAATCCTACATGAACACGTGTTGGAAGGTCATGTTTTAGACTGCTAACAGCTAAACGGCCAGTTTTCCAGAAAAGTCTTATTTACTTTGTCACAATAAAGTTCTTATAGCTTTGCTGAGGCAGAATGATCTTCTGATTGTTTTTAGTGTGCTAACAGTTTCAGTCCACAATCTGCTTAGATCCCTTTGTAGGAAGGGTCAACTGTGAGGGGATCATTGTCATACCAGGATGGGAGCGAGGATTCAGACCACACCTCTTTACGCTTCTCTTCCTGAGGAGGGAAGAGCTGTGTCGTCAACCAATTAAATAGTCAAATGTAAAAACTACGGTATATTCTCCAAGAGCAGGTGTCAGTCTCGAACTAAAGTGCTGCAAATGAAATGAAAATATGGAAAGATAATAAAAATTCCCGCTGGTCTACCGCCGGACAGATTCCAGGGTTAAATAGTCTGTTTAGTCTCGTCCAAGTCTGTCTAATTGTCTCAGTGCAAGGGAAGACTCCAATTCCCATTGTTCCATGGGTTTTTATTCACATCACACCAGAGGCAGGAGGCAGTCTAAACTCTTCAGGATGGAGCCTGTGCAGGAGGAGAGTCCCATTGCTGGATAAAGGAATGCATGATATGAAATCCCGGAGGGAACATGAGAAGCCTCATTCGCCACCAACAAGCTCCACCGCTCCGTCATTTACTTAATTTGTCCATCCATGGTCACTTGTAGAATGGTTGAAGAGAAGGTGACGTCAATTCAACCTCCTGTTTTTGAGTAATTTCAGTGCCTTTTGTTGAGGTCAGTTGAGTCCTTGGGGTGGGACTCCCATGGTCAAATGTGTTGTCAGCGCCTTGTGGTCAGTCCAGTGCTAAGGTAAGGTCATTCTTCCTCGTGTGTGTGTGTGTGTGTGTGTGGAAGGAGGGGGGTCAAAATCACGTCCATGTTTGTCTGTCTTGCGAGTCATAAATGCTTCAATCAGACAAGCAGTGCAGTCTTACAAACTCCCAATTAATCAGAGATAGGGATCCTACAGGGACACAGAGAGGTGCTTCTGGAATGGAGGAGAAAACCCAAAAAATTAAGAAAGGGTGGTGTTACGTGAAACTCTGCTAGTAAGAGATGCTGGGGCCGTAACAGGTAGGTGGAGTTCAGGCGCAGAGCACAGGTGATCTTGGCCTGAAACAGAATGATGTGGGGAAACCTTCACGAACTGGCGGACGGGACTGCAGAACTTGACCCACACTGGAGGTACCCACACACGTGCTCCTGTGATGTTACATTTTTCATAATCATGATAGTGATTAAATCAATCTCTCTGACGATGAGAAGGGAAGTAAGGAAGTCGGAGGAGGGGAGCTGAGGTCTTCCTTGTCGTTGTGACCCTTAATGACTGCAGTGGGCAGAGGGTGAGAGAATTGAGCTGAGGTGAGGATGAAGATGGCGCAAGGAAGGATTGAGTATTATAGCTGGAAGCCTTCCATCGGGGCCTCGCACTGTTGGAAGAGGAACTGCTGCTGCTGCAGGTCGACGGCGGGGGCCAGAGACGGGTCCTCGTCCTCCGTGTTAAAGTAGCGCTCGATCAGGTCGAAGGCTTTCTGGTAGATTTCCTGGTTCTCGTGGCCCTG